GTAGAATGCAAGCTTAAATATAATCGAGGCCTACGGTTTTATATCCGGTTAGAATGCTAGCTTAAATATAATCGAGGCTTACGGTTTTATTTCCGGTTAGAATGCAAGCTTAAATATAATCGAGGCTTACGGTTTTATTTCCGGTTAGAATGCAGGTATATAGATATTATTCAGATGTAAGCTGAGATTTACGTTGTTCTTGATAACTTAAATTTATGCTCTTTAAAATGATTTTGTTTATAATATTTCTGAACTGAAATCACGCAGGGTTTCTCAGCTATCAGAAGATTGCGCCAATTTCTTACTGTTGCGTGCGTTTTTTTTTGTTTTTTTTTCAGTTTTACTTAAAACAAAGAACACTTCTTATGAACTGTGGCTATGTAAATTACGTTCAACAATAATATTCTCACGAATTATAACGGTGTAATATACAAGACTGTAAATTACGTTCAACAGTAATATTCTCACGAATCATAGCGGTGTAATATACAATACTATGTAAATTACGTTCAACAATAATATTCTCACGAATCATAACGGTGTAATATACAAGACTATGTAAATTACGTTCAACAATAATATTCTCACGAATTATAATGGTGTAATATACAAGACTATGTAACTTACGTTCAGCAATAATATTCTCACGAATTATAACGGTGTAATATACAATACTATGTAAATTACGTTCAACAATAATATTCTATTGTTAATGAATGAATAGACTCAGAAAAATTATAATATTTTTAACTAATTATAAATTGTCGTGTTTCTCATACTTAATTTCTAATTGTCTTTCTTTTTTTAACAAATTTCAACTGTCATTTATTTATTAAATAATGTTAACTTGTCTATTCCGAAAGAGAGTAGACGTAAATTGACACAACTAAAATACAAATTTATTTTAGGTGAAATATAATACTTTGTTTTAGTTCGACTGAGACACGTTCTAGTTGATTCTGACCTCAAATTGAAGATTCTGGTATAACGTACCTGTCACAGGTGGTAAAACATACCTGTCACAGGGCTATCGAATCTCTGTCTGTCTTTCCAGGAGATTGTCAAAGTATGTGACGTAGATGAGGAGAGTTCTAGTAGCGGAGACGTAGGAGGCACTGTAGGAAATTTCGTACAACACATAAATTTGGTACAATATCAATCAATAAGATGTTCCATACAGAACTTGTCAAAAGGCATTTACTGATTTATCTATTTTCACTGAGCAAGTTAAACCCTCAGACAACTCACATTAGATTTTTTTTTCTTCACACAGTTGAGAATGAAAATTCAACCAAAGCTTGTGCCTACCACGTGTTGCCTCTTTGCATTAGAATATATTCATTAATCTCAGACGAAGAGCCTTCTGACGTTTAATAGATGAGGTCGAATAAAGTAACAAAGGCTGGTTAATGAATGCTTCTTGAAAGTGTCCAATATTTTTAATAACACAGAAACAAAGCAACTTTGATCAGTGAATGGTCTTGGAAAACAAAAGACGAAATTTTTCTCACTTAAAGAGTGGATATTCCAGTCTGCTGGCACATAAGAAAACAATATCATGATTCTAAATAAATTAGCGTTATTGAAGTTTTGAAAATTATAATGTTTTATTAATCCTAAAACTAATTATTTAAATGCTAACTACTGGTTAAACATAGGATACCAGAAGAATGAAAACCTGGCATCTAAAGTTGATTAGGAACGAAACAAGTTACTAGTTTCACTTTAAGACTTAAGTGTTTGATTTAATGATACATTATCTCTTAACATACAGAGTAAATAACTAACCACTGCTGGAGAAAGGTGGACTAGGTGACACTCGCCACCCACACTCTACAGAACCTGTCTAAAACAACGAAACGAATGTTTTATTGGCACATAAGTTTCATTACCCGTGATGGGCACATCACAGATTGCCTATTTTATAGCTTTGTCGTTAACTACAAACAAAGAAACTGGTCATCTTAGTCCTATCACATTAACGCGCAATCTTCACGACTACAAAACGCTTACGCATTAGATTAGATTATCAGTCTTAAAGCTATGTTTTAGTAGTAGTATGATTAAGTAATGTGCCCTATGTATTTTATATTATAATATATTTAATTACTATTAAATATATTATAATATAAAATATATAGGGCACATTACTTAATCTTACTACTATTAAATATATTATAATATAAGATACATAGGACACATTACTTAGTCATACTACCATTAAATATATTATAATATAAAATATATAGGGCACATTACTTAATCATACTACTATTAAATATATTATAATATAAGATACATAGGACACATTACTTAGTCATACTACCGTATGACTAAGTAATGTGCCCTATATATTTTATATTATAATATATTTAATAGTAGTATGATTAAGTAATGTGCCCTATATATTTTATATTATAATATATTTAATAGTAGTATGATTAAGTAATGTGTCCTATGTATTATATATTATAATATATAATATGTTACAACATATCTAAACAATCTGCCTGGCCATATAGCAACAACACAATATTCAACCAAATCTTGACAAGTTTGAGACACTATATTTACTTTCACAAACTACTAGTTAAAATTACAGATGCTATTATCATTTTAGTGAGAGTCAGCCATTTGAATATTAATGTTAAACAAATCAATTGCTAAAATTAGGAATAAAAACATTATTCAATAGTTTCAAAATACTGTTTTGTCTTAGGCCTCTCTCACCATCAGCCAAAGTCTCAATCAGTACACTCTGGGACACCGGGCCTGGTCCTTTTTCGTTAAATGCTTGAACCGAAACGGCGTACTTCGTCGATCGCTGCAAATTTGTCACGTGAGCTTCCATTTCTTTCTTGTCATTTATTTCTACGGTTTTGTACATGGACGTTTCTGGTGACGTCACTACGGTATATCTGATGTAGTACCCTTTAATTTTTCCATTCCAGAACTGCTTTTCCGGTGGCTAAGACAAAACAGTAACAACTTTGAAAACGAAGTATTCTCTCACTTGACTGACATTGAATAAGCGTGTATAATTTTTGAAGCTATTTTTAGGGTTGTATATTACAGGGGCTAACACTGCCCTTTAGGATTGTTTAGAAATTATTATTATATAACATAAGTTTGATTTGTTTTGAATTTTTCGCGAAGCCACACGAGGGCTATCCGCACTAGACGTCCCTAATTTAGCAGTGAAAGATTAGAGGGAAGGCAGCTAGTCATCACCACCCATCGCTAACTCATGGGCAACTCTTTTACCAACAAATAGTGGGATGGACCGTCACATTATAACGCCCCCACGACTGGAAGGTGAGCATGTTTGGTGGGAGGGAAATTCGAACCCACGACCCTCAGGTTGCGAGTCAAGCCCCCTAACCACCTGGTCATGCCGGGCCAGTACATCATCAGAAGAGTGGTAGCTTTCAGAATAGCTAATGGAACCAAATTACAACAAATAGAGATGTTAGCATCGATATTCTGTGTTTCAGAAACAATAGGATAAACGGATCTTCTTTCTCTTTTTTATCGTTCACGATAATGAGAAGGTGGCCTGTAAATGTTTTATATTTATTTTATTTATGGGTTTGCTTTTCAAGCCTAAATAATTACGCCTGATATTTTCTATTTTACCACCTTGTAAGTCTGAATAGTCCAATCGTTATAATCCGCCACTCTCTGAGTGTTAAATGATCACCTGCACTCGTCGTGCGGTCTGATTCGTACCGTCCAGGCCCGACATGGCTGGCCAGGTGGTTAGGACGCTCGACACGCAATCTGTGGGTCGCTAGTTCGAATCCCCGTCCCACCAAACATGCTCGCCCTTTCAGCCGTGGGGGCGTTATAATGTGATGGTCAATCCCACTATTCGTTGGTAAAAGAGTAGCCCAAAGAATTGGCGGTGGGTGGTGATGACTAGCTGCCTTCCCTCTAGTCTTACACTGCTAAATTAGGGACGGCTAGCGCAGATAGCCCTCGTGTAGCCTTACGCGAAATTCAAAAACAAACAAACAATTATACATCTCTGAAGTTCGCTTAGAACACCAGGTGGCTGCACGAAAAGTTCGATGAAAGGACTGCAAAAGTGTGGAAAAGAAGGCATAAGGGGGGACCTGACTACATTATATGCGGCTCAGTACCACGTGTACAGTGTCCAGAAGTGTTACCAGCTGAATAAAATCGATAATACTGTATTGTAACCATAGATTGTAAAAAAAAAAGTATCATGTCCTGGTTTGCAAACATAAACACTCCTTTTTACTAATGTGAAATCTCCCTTCGATTGGGCCCCCCAGTGGCACAGCGGTATGTCTGCGGACTTACAACGCTAGAAACCGGGTTTCGATACCCGTGGTGGACAGAGCACAAATAGCTCATTGTGTAGCTTTGTGCTTAATTACAAACAAACAAACCCTTCGCTTGGAGCAAAGTGTGGACAATTTAAATTGGGCCAGTAAACTTCAATTTCCTACCACATAGGTGTTTAAGAATTATCAATATACTTTTCCCCGCCTTCCTTGTACATATATTATCTAATTTCTGATTATCAAAAGTGTTGGACAGTGTACCCTGTTCACAAAACGGGTCTCCTGTATCTAAGCTGCCTGAGGATCATATCTTAAATTGATGGACGCAAGCAAAAGCTTCAACTTCAATACGTGGCAGGAATTTTTGTATGAGATCTTTTGAGAACGGTTAAACATCGGGGGGATTACTGGGGGAGCTCAAAAGCTTTAGCTTCTCTTCGCCCCTCTCATGAGAGTGGTGCGGGTTTTACCTGAAGTTTTATGGTTTTAGAATAATTGAAGATGATTAAGTTAACATGGCAGATTTGAAGATGCCTTAAGCTGTCAGGAGAAGACAAGAGAGTCTTGAATGATACAAGCAAAGAAAGATTAGCGTCCCTTAAAAGAAAAAAAAGGGGGGGTGCGATATTTTAGATGTCGGTTTGAAATTATATAAAGAGTTTCCGACTGCGATTATATGACAGATGTAATGGCATTAAAGTAAATAAAAATACCCGTTTATTTCATAAAACTTTTCACTAAATGTTCAAATCAAGACATACTGAACGTCTTACTTAAGAAATTTGTTGCTACGTAAAATTTCCAGCAATCAATATACTGTTCAAAAATAACACTTACTTCCCATGAGACCTTAATTGAATTTGGTCCTGTTGCCGTAGCTTGCACGTTCAGTGGAGGTACCCCAGGTGCTGAGAGCAGTTATGAACAGAACGTTAGAATGACAAGAAGAAATAATGCCGAAAGCGTTTATCTTTCGTATTTTTATTATTTAACATTGAAAGTTTTCAAAATAATCAACTGTCTATGGTAATATTAATAGGGAATAATTTAAATGTAGTTTTCATTCAAACGTTAAGAACAATTCTATGACATTTATCTGTGTAAATAATATTCTATTTATTTCAGCTCTGTTGTTGAATCTTTTCTAAGGTAAGATGTTACTTAGTGATGAGTTCAACGCACTGCTGTGGAACCCTTTTACAAAAATATCGCCTAGCAACGGCATTACACCAATCAAAGCGACATCTAGCAAAATGTCAATTTTAACAATATTTATTTAAAATTCTTGAGCAGCTTTTGGCTGGAATATTACATATATATATATTTTTTCAGTGTAACCTTTTGCCTGTAAAAGTGAAAAATGATCACATACAATATTCGAAGTAAAAATACGTTCAAATTACATATAAACTCAATTAAATTATTATTCAGGAGCATATTTTATGTAATGATTTGGTACAAATTTAACGGTGCTCCTGATGTTATATTTGTTAAGTTTCAATTTATTGTTTTTTAAAGCTTTCAAAATATTTCTTTGTCTGGATTTCTATCCACATAAAATATCTTTTACGTTGTCGAAATTTATTTTGAATTATTTTATATGATATATTCGGGCTTACGATGCTAAAAATCGGTTTTCGATACTCATGGTAGGCACAATACACATAGCCCATTGTATAGCTGTGTTTTTAACAACAACCAAACAGTTCTTTGGTTTTCCATCTCCCTTGAATCTAGTATTTTTCCCTAGCATTTACTTATTATTTCCATTGAATCTAGTATTTTTCCCTAGCATTTACTTATTATTTCCCTTGCATCTAGTAGTTATTTCCTTAGCATTTAATTATTATTTGCCTTGCATCTAGTAGTTATTTCCCTAACATTTACTTATTATTTCCCTTGCATCAAGTAGTTATTTCCTTAGCATTTAGTTATTATTTGCCTTGCATCTAGTAGTTAGTTCCTTAGCATTTAGTTATTATTTTCCTTGCATCTAGTAGTTATTTCCCTAGCATTTACTTATTATTTCCCTTGCATCTAGTAGTTATTTCCTTAGCATTTACTTATTATTTCCCTTGAATCTAGTAGTTATTTCCCTAGCATTTAATTAATATTTCCCTTGCATCTAGTAGTTATTTCCTTAGCATTTACTTATTATTTCCCTTGAATCTAGTAGTTATTTCCCTAGCATTTAATTAATATTTCCCTTGTATCTAGTAGTTATTTCCCTAGCATTTAATTATTATTTGCCTTGCATCTATTAGTTATTTCCTTGGCATTTACTTGTTATTTCCCTTGCATCTAGTAGTTAGTTCCTAGCATTTAATTATTATTTGCCTTGCATCTATTAGTTATTTCCTTGGCATTTACTTATTATTTCCCTTGCATCTAGTAGTTATTTCCTTAGCATTTACTTATTATTTCCCTTGCATCTAGTGGTTATTTCCCTAGCATTTACTTATTATTTCCCTAGCATTTACTTATTATTTCCCTTGCATCTAGTAGTTATTTCGTTAGCATTTACTTATTATTTGCCTTGCATCTAGTAGTTAGTTCCTTAGCATTTACTTATTATTTCCCTTGCATCTAGTAGTTATTTCCCTAGCACTTACTTATTATTTCCCTTGCATCTAGTAGTTATTTCCCTAGCACTTACTTATTATTTCCCTTGCATCTAGTAGTTATTTCCCTAGCATTTAGTTATTATTTGCCTTGCATCTAGTAGTTATTTCCCTAGCATTTAGTTATTATTTGCCTTGCATCTAGTAGTTATTTCCCTAGCATTTAGTTATTATTTGCCTTGCATCTAGTAGTTATTTCCTTAGCATTTATTTATTATTTGCCTTGCATCTAGTAGTTATTTCCCTTGCATCTAGTAGTTATTTCCTTAGCATTTAGTTATTATTTGCCTTGCATCTAGTAGTTATTTCCCTAGCATTTGATTATTATTTCCCTTGCATCTAGTAGTTATTTCCCTTGCATGTAGTAGTTTTCCCTACCTGTTTTATCCATACATAAAATCTTTTGCAGTTTATACATTCTATTTTATATATGTGTCATTATTATATTTTTCATTATGATATAATTTCGAAACGAATGTTGTTTCAATTTATTTCTGAATACATTTATTCGTTCTTATGCAGATAGTTTCTTTGTCTTGTTTCTCCGGTTGAAGTTTTTTCGTTTTGTTTTTCTTGGTGTATGACCTTAGTTTCATTTTAGTTTAAATTATGCCAATTATTTTTTTCGAATATTTAAAGCCGTTTGTGTTTATTTAGTCGGACAACAGGTGGCGGATGAGTCTCTTAGATATACTACTTGATGTAATCCCATATTATACTGTGAACTGTTATGGAAAGGAGAGGAATTTAGATGATTGAAAGTTATATTATAGAAAATGCCAAAATGAAAAATGGCTGAAGAAATAAACTAATGGTGATTATTGAACTGAATAACATGAGGTTGAAATATTTTCCCAAAGTTCCTTTCTCTTACATCACTGTAAGAGGTTATGAACAAACTAAATAAAATCATTATCTATGATCCCTTTATTCACGTTAAAAAAAAGAGTTATCGATAAAGACCAGTAAACCAATGAGTATCTGATCCATACAAGTAGACAACCTTAAAGAAGGCAGAAAATATCTTTATATATATATCCATGAAAGGAATGTTAGTGATAATTTTGGGAAGAGTATGAAAAAACTACTTGCAGGTTCAGACTATAATCAAATGGAGAGTCCCTCGCTAACTCTACAGTCTTCCAAATATACATAAACCTGGAATCCATTTAGTTCCTGTGGTCTGCCATATTGGTTTTATTACATATTCTAGTTTTGTAGCTAACGTTCTAAGGTCCCAGGCCGGACAGTCTGAACCATTTCTTAATATTGTTTATATGGTAAAGCCCACAGAAGCTAAAATAATGACTAGTTTTGTTGTAGTTTACCTTTTCACGAGAATCACTGTAACTGGTGGGAACAGAATAATCAGAGTCCTGCTGACAAATCCTCCTATCTAAAAAACCAATATCATTATCAAACTATTGGAATTTTCTCGAACACTGCGTAATTTTTGCTAAAACGATTAGTCTTTTATGCTTTCAGGTGGTATTAATTGGCTTTCCGCTTGTCCAGTAGTAACAGAAATTTAGATCCAAAGCTTGGAGAATAAGGCTTTCAGGGCCGCGTTACGGCAACCACACTTCTGAATCAGATAAAAGGATAATATATTGATCTTATGACGACACAACCAAGTAGAACTTGGTCAATTTCACTGTCAGTAGAATATTCAGAACAGTTTTCACACAATTCACACACGAAACAGGGAAAAATTACTTTCGCTTTCTCTAGACGTATTTGAATACACTAGTGTGAAAACTTACCACAATCCATATACATTAATCAATACGTCAGTACACCGAGAAAATGTCTGCATTGATGGATGACTTTCTATCAAGCCACCCTTAAAGCTATATAAATGGGGTTCAATAATGGCATTATCATCTAGATCCAAGAGCAAGGTTTTCTTCTAATTATCTCAAGTCGAGCTTAAGATGTGGAATCTCTTGAAATGGATACCCCCACCCCCACACAAATGTTCCAAGAGACACGATTTTCACAAGCTGTAAAGTGTCAGCAGTTGGCAAATACTGAATAAATAGCTACGAAGTTTGACATTCGAGGCCTATCCAAAGTTCCTCAGTACGATGCTATGTGTATCACTGTGTAACATCTTGTGTGACAAAGGTTCCAGTAAAGGAGCTAGAGGATTCCAAGTACCAGGGCCGGATTGAAGGGGTGAAACAAATGGGTGCAACTGTACTGGGTCCCTTAGAATGAGGGTTTCGCCTAACTAAGAGCAAAATATAAAAATAATTAATCAACAACTAAATGTATCATTGGAAAACATGTTTGAAACTGAGTCACTATGACAACTGTGTCACTATGACGACAGCGATTTTAATGATTTCATATTAACCTAATATTTTGTAATTTTTCATGAATATATAATTGATAATATGTTCTTACAGCTTGCATTGCTCAAGCTATGATTAATAAATGGTATTGATTTGTATTTGACTTATTTATGGTCCCGTGATGGGTCAGTAATAAGTTTACTGACTTACAACACACACAAATCCGGGGTTCGATTCCCGCGGTAAACAGAATGCAAATATCCCATTGTGTAGTTCAGCACTAAGAAAGAAATACCAACAACGACTTATTTACGAAGTTCACTTTTGATAGCCCTCCAAACCCTTAATCCGGCCCTGGTAAGTACTGTGGAGACTTTTGTGAAAGTTCCACATTACTGTGCTGAACCAATGACCAGGTAACATTTTATATGACAAGTAAACTGTTATTTATGTGGTAGAATGTCTTAGAGCTTTAATTTTTCCCAACGTCTTATTGCTTCAAGCATCTTCATTTGCTTGAAAAGTTTCACTTCTATCATTCTGTATTGTAAGAAAAAAATTATTGCAAGTGGAAATAATATTTACATAGGTTAATACTGAAATTAAATTATATTTCACATCGTAATTATGTTAGATTAGGGTTAGCGTAAAAGGCTTAATGTGTATTCATTGGAGTACAATGTTCATATAACATTTTATCTCATATTTTGAAGATAAATGAGCTCAGATGTTTAGTAATTTACCTGTAAAAACCTTTTGTTATATTATGAATTCTAAATACAACTCTAATTGCATATTAGTTGTCTTATATCTGATGGCAACCAATACATATTTGATATAATGGCTGGAGACGGCTTGAATGGGTAATGAAGAAAAACTTTAATATAACAGCAAATGTACAAATACCTGATGATG